AACAAACAAAAAGATCACCAATGTGGTCCATGATAGGAATAAGATGGATTATTCTGAGTAAAATGTTTTCGAGATTGTTTTTTTCCCTTTCTCGTTCGCTTTCTAACCACGAAATAAGATCGTGGTGATGATGATGATAACAACTGTATTGGCTGAACAATAATCACCTGTGTTTCTGCAAAAGATGAACCATATGGATCATTATTATTATCATCTGGTTGAGAACTGTGATAAACAGGTGGACGTCGAGGAATATGAATTGGGTAATATTGAATTGTTGTTGTTGTTGGTGGTGGTGGTGGTGGTACTCTTGTTGGTGTTGTTGTTGTTGTTGTGGTGGTGGTGGTAGTTGTTTGATCGTCAGCTGGATAAAATGATATTGGTGTATCAATAAAACTTTCATCAATTGATGGAACAACATGTTGATCTATTTTATTTTCTTGTGATGGTATTCGAAAATTTTTAACAACATCACATTCACTTAATTGACAACGTTCTTGTTGAGTATTTTGACATAAATCTATATATGATTGTTCAGGTTTTTTATTTAAAATATTTAATATAAAATCATAAACACAATCACAAAATTCTGCTTGTGGTGGAAGAATAATCATAGATGGATTTGATTTTTGTTGTTTGTTTAAATAACGTGCTAAAATACATTTTGATGTTGGATATAATTGATCAAGAATAACTTTTGATAAATCAAGACGTGTTAAATAATCTAAATGATCAAGTGAATGTTCAGATAAATAACGAACATTTTGTCCAAGTGTAAAAAAACGAATACGATTTACATGTTGAAATGTATTATCTAAGTAATAGAAAAAAACAAAGGAAAATTTCATTCGAATAATTTTAATTTATTAATTTACCTTTTATTGTTTCAGCATCAAGTTCAATTGTTTCAAGATTTTCTAAATATTGAAAACCATCAAATGATTTATTGTCAAAGAAAAATTTTGGTCGAACTAAATTAACACCATTTAAATTATAATAATTAATAAATGTTGATGCATTGATTTTTCTTGGTTCATGTGCTTCAATAATCATTGAACTAACTGGATATTTAGGAAATTCTTCACTTGAAACAAGTTCTGCCATTTTTGTAAATTTAGCAGAACGAATTTGACCTTTAAAATATCGCCCTAATGTGTTATTGTTTCGAGGTGTACAACCTAAAGAAAAATAATTTAAATATTTCAAGGATTCTATCTTGTTTTATTTTACCTTCAATCGATAAACTACCAATTTTTGTATTATTAAAAATTTCTTCAAATGAATATGGTTCCAATGATGAACTATGTAAAGCCATTCGATCAACAGTTAAATGATTAAAAGCCATTGGTGAAAATGAAATATGTCCATTAGATGTTAATTCTAATGAAAGACTTGTTGTAAATTCAGGTCTTTCACCAAATAATTGATAAAATGAATAATCTTCAAAATGTACTTTACGATAATCTTGAAATGTTAAAATAATTTTAATTGTTCGTTGTTGTATTCCACGAATTGATGATGATGATGATAATGAACGTGGAAATAAATAAGATAATTGATTAATAAATGTTGGAGTTACATTAAGTTCTTGTACATGAAATGTTAAATGAAATGAATCAAATGAACGTGGATTTTGTAATGTTGTATTTGTTAATTGAATTGTTGTATTTATTGGTTTATAATAATTAACGCAATTTAATTGTTCAGTTTCATTATTTGATGATGAATGACATTCACATGACATATCTTCAAGTATATTACATGGTTTTGTTCTCACAATTGTTACTGAGACAAATATGAGAAATATATGATAGATTATATAAACCATTTTTAATGACTAGTGACTAGAATAAATCTAGAAAAAAAAACCAAAAATAAAAAATAAAGAATAACAAATGTACATTTATATATATATGTATGTATATGTATATATTGATTGTAGATTTTTCTACATGTGTGTACGTGATGGAACGTTATTACTACCCTGTTATTTTTTTATCTGGATGCTCAAGATACAAACTATTCACTCATTCATATGCGAGTAAAAAATATGACAAATAATCTTACAATCGTTAGAAAAGAAAAACGTTAGTTAAGTATTTACATATTTCTAAGTATTGTTTTTCTTTCTTTATAAAATAATCTGGTGTGTACATGAAATCATTTTATTCTTCTACTTGTCGTTGGATGTAATCATTGACCATCGATTACTTGAAAGTCTATAATGAACATAGCTCCATCATTGAGTAATCAAATAGATGTATGTACAAGTACATATAATAGTGCAATATGCTAGCAATAAAACAAAAAAGAAGAGCTCAATGCTACTAATCTAAACATTTATCTAAAGGTGTGAGCGAACATAAAATGTCTTGCAATTATTCATCTATTCTGATGTCATTAGTTATCGTATGAGCAATATTTATTTTCTATTTATCTGTGTAAATTTATCTCAAAAATAGTCAAACGTAATAAATAGACTGAGCATGAAAAAAAGAATTACATAATCAATAAACGGAAGCAAACAACCTTGTTTTACAAGGATGATACACTTATCGCTTTAGCAAAAAGGAAATAACGATGCTTAGATTGAGTTCATCGTTTTCTTTTTGTTATATCATATTACATCATAGGTTACCTTTCGAAGTAAATTAGATCGTAATAGCAAAATGTTTTGTCATAACAGCTTGAAAACTATCATTACCAAGTCATAAGAACAATAAGAAATAAAAGAACTAGCTGTTCCAGTACATATATTATGAATACTAATGAAATGATAACAGACTGATGTCAACAGTAATATATTCTCGTCTAACAGTTCACAGAAATTAAAAAAAAACCTCAAAACATACATGCTTAAACAAACTGTGTTTCTAGCATATAGAAAGACATTATTAGTGAAATAGAATAGACTTTTGTTCTTTCATTTCGTTAAAATAACAATAATTATATTTACATACATATACATATAACGATAGAAAACACTATTTTACGTTTCTAACAAACATAAACCAAAATATTTGTTTAAGCTTACAAGTATTTATCCTTGGCACCAATATCTTTTTACAAACGTATCGCGCTATTCTAAATGATAATGATAATGCCAGTTTTTTTCCTCATCATTACCATTTGACCTTGAAAAAATGTCTCACAAGTGCAATTTTAGTTTATATTCAGTCATAAAAATCATGTCTCTTCACTCCTATGTGTCCAAGGTTATATTCAGGTTATAAACATATAACTATTGAAGCTCTATTTTTTCTTTTGCTTTCAATTTTAAACATTGTAATAGGAAATACGAGACCTTGGAAAAGATAAGAAAGATTAAATGAGGACAACTTCTTGAATTACTTGTATTCTATTAAGAAGACATTATTTGCGATGATATGTATATGTTATCGATTGTTTTTTATTTATAATTTACTAATTTCATTAATAAAAGTCTATTAACAAACCTTGTCAACTTCCATAATCTATGGCTTTTTTTTGCATTTAGTAATTCTATTAAATGAAAGATATATTGTATTTAACATTGTTGACCTTTCTAATTAAAAATTCTAAAACAATAAAAGTGGTCAACTTACCTATATATATATTGTATTACAAAATACAGTTAATACTCTTTTTCTATTTGTACTCAGTGCTAATTATGATAACAATGATTTAGCTTTTCTCGTTTTGTAAGTACAGATTCCAACTATCTGTACAAGAAATGTTATTATATATGTATAGAAATAGAAACGAGAAGAAAGAAAAAAAAACTGAGAAAGAACAAACCAAAAACAGCAACCACAAAAGCTACATATTTTCTTTTTTCTTATACTTCCTGTCCCATCAACTAATAGAAAAAGATGGGTAATCTGATGGAAAAAAAATCCGTTGCTTTTATATAAACAATTTGCTTCCAAATTATGCATTTTCTCTAATGAACAAGTTAAGCTTTTTTTCTTTCCCAGAACGATCATTGCGACCGTCGAAAACAGTGTCTTTCACCGCTTCAAACGGCTATAAAAAGATGTATTCCTTTAATACATTTCATGGTAATCTGTCATTCCGTTTTAGGCGACGTCCTTTCTTTTTCTATCCAACAGACATTGTTTTTCTCTACTGTCTTCACAACTTTACAGCCATTAGGGCAAATGATGACGTAATGAAGTGTGGGTTTTCGACATTTTAGGACAAAAGTTCATCAAAAAAAAAAAAGGTTGCAGCATTTACACTAGATAAATTTTGTTTAGTAGAGTAATAGTTGTCATACACTCAAAATTCATGAATACTTCTCTAAGAAAGTTATGGAGATTACTAGGGTAAAAAAACTATCATCACACCTCCATCTTTTTTGTTGCCTTCGTTTGTCTGAGATTATCTGCTTATTTGATGTGACACTTTTTCACCGGTACTATAAATACTTTGAAGCTTCAATATTGTTTTCCGTTTATTTCTATCTCTTTCCCTTCAGTTAAAAGTGCCTGAAAGCTAACCGTGCCGAAAAAAGCACAGTTTTTTTCAGGAGCAGACTTTTCTATTTTAATATTGCCAAAAGTCAACAATACATTATTTTAGGTGATATAAAAATATGCATCCAAAGTACTATTGTGCAGTTGTAGAAAAGTTGAAGCTCAATTGAATGAGCTTTGTCTGAGAAACGGAAATAATTCTGCAGACTTTTGAATCAAAGCTAGATCTTCGAAAAACCTCGGCCAAACCAAAAATCTGTTACATCTTTGCGATTATGAAATTCTCAAAACATGTTCAATAGATAAAGAACAACACTAAGAAGTATATATATGCAGAGTAGAGATAAACTGAAAATTTTCTGTCAGGAAAGACAACGATTCTTCAAGAGATTGTTGCAAAAGAATCAATTAATCGAAAGTATTGATATTGTCCAGATGGATGTGAGGGAAACAGCTGTTTATTTATCAAATAGAAAAAAACAATGAAAATCACAAATCTACAGAAATAAAGAAAAAGTAAGAACAAAAAGAGTCGAATGACATTTATCCAGCTTTTTTTCTATCAAATGGATCACGCCAAACAGGCAAACCTATGAAAAAGAAATTTATAAATATTAGAAAAGCAGAAATTGATTAATATTTACCAGCTGGTTGCACATCTTCAGGATTGATTCCAGCTCGGTTAACTTTTTGAATGCTACCTAACATTTAACATCTGTTTAGCATTTTTTTTATATTGATTTTAAAAATGATACATACGAAATCGATCAATGTTAATATAAGGATAGAGAAAAACGAGACTGAGTCCACCAACAACAGCTGTTACAGTTGCAATAATTGCAACTCGTGAACCACTTCCACCACTCTGTGCAGCACTCCATTTTGCTGGATTAACACGAAGATCAGGTCTAGGTAATCGTTTTGATGGCTGTTCTTGATTCATGATATAGAGTAAATGTTGATCTAAAATTTAATTTATTTTTTATCTGTTCCATCAAAACCAAAAAAGAGATTAAACATTCTATCTAATTGTTTATCATGTAAATATTGATATAATTGTCCTAAATCATGTTTACTATGATTATCATGAACAAAAGCAAGTTCTTGAAATTGATTGAAACGTAAATTATTTGCCTCTGTATCACCTAAAATTTCTTTTTCTTTCATCTGTAATCTTTTCCATGTTAAATTGCGTAAACGTGTCCAATATTCATTAACATCAGATTCTTCTCCTTCAACACAAATAATACCAGGTTTACCAGGCATAGAGAAACCATTTAAATGTAATTCATGTGCCCAATTAATTATATTTCGTCGTTTTTCTGTATTATATATATGATGACTATAAATCCAAAGACGAGAAAAGATTTTTTTCTTTGTAATTTGTTCATTTGTTGTTTTAGATATTGTATCATTCGATAGAATAAAAAGAATTTGATTATCTTGAATCCATGAAAGAAATTCCATAACATAAGGTTCTTGTGATGATGTTTTATTAATTAAAAATTTTTTTACAGCTTCATTAAATTTTTCATAGCATTCACGTGATAAATATGTACGTAAATGAATATCAACTGGTGATTCAGGATAATAAAATGGATAAACAAATTGAAGTTCAATAGATGTCTTAAAGAAAATAGTCAAATATAAAATACATTCTTTCAAAAATTTTTACATTAATATCATTTAGATGAAGTTTAAGAATAAAACCAAGATTTCTTTGAATATTCTCACGTTTTTCATCAATAAATTCTTTTGCTTCATTGAATGCTTCAATATCATCAAGATAAAATTCATCTGATGATGAATAACAACAACGTAATAATTCAATTTCATTTAATTGTTGTTCAATACATGAGCGAATTGAATTCATTAAAGATTTTAATCATCAATAAACTAATAAGTAAAAAAAACAAAAATTTATTTCTTTTTCATTCTTTTTCTTTTGCTTTTTTTAAATAACACAATAAAGACAAAAAGAAAAACAATACAAGTTCATTAAGTACGTTTTTTTTTGGAAACAGACGAATAAGGCTAACTAAGCAGATGAAAACAACAACAATACACTAGAACATTTTTTTTTTAGTTTTCTTATATTAAAAGTTTTAATCAAAGAAGGAAATATGCTGAGAAGATGTTGTTGAAAATTTGTATCACAATCGATCGATTATTTGATTAAAAAGCTAAAATAAATAAAAAGACAAGAAAATCATTTTTTAATATTAAGTCTTTCAAAATAATTTCTCTCAAATATCAATAGAAAACTTCAATGATATTAAAAAAATCTTACCTATATGGGTAACCTTGATATTTAGCTCGAAATACCGACAGTAAGAAACTGAAGAAGAAGACAACCATGAGAATACCAAGAACAGCCATCATTGCTAGAAGAAAAAAAAAAAAAATTTTAGATATGTCGAGAATGGAACATATCAAATTATTTCTTTAATATGATTAATTAACGATTTTTTATGAATGATAAATTATCTATTTTTGTGATGAACTCATGCAACCATTCATAGAATTCTTCTCTATAAGACTAATTCTTTCCCCACAGAATAGCGGCCCACTGGAGTCCTAATTTTTTTTTTTCGCAAGTAGATTTTGGTTACGCTCAACTTTTTTTGTATTATAGCTACGATTTGATTGGCTTTCAAGCATAGAAATGTACAAAGATTCGATAAATAGGAGTTCTCAAACTGTCGATCGGAGAATTTTGATACGGACAATGATAGTTTATGACGAATCAAAAATTGACTGCTATGCTTTTTCAGATTCATATTATCAGCTGATCTGAGTGATAAGTTCATTACACTACTTTTCTCATTTGGACGTTCATCTGTTATCAGTACTTTGTGTATATTATTACAGATACATTTTAAATCGCGCTTAGTACGATCAAAATTAGTGTTTCAATAATGAATATCGTACTCATATCATGCTAACACTTGTTTTTGATTCTGATACACTCTTGTGTAATTTCAACCGTCCACCATTCAACTTTGTGAAATGTTTCATTTTTCATTTACATGGTTTCATTTCTAGATTATGTATAATCTCATAACAGGAAGAAGATCAACAGAGTGGTATTAAAGTGTGTTTATTTCCTTCTCTCTTTGATACTTCCTAAACAACTTGTCTCTCATTAATATTTATACGTACACGTTTTTCGGCTTACGAAAGAAACTTGTTTGCTCGTTCAAACTAAATAATAATAACTTGACAAGAGTCGATTATTCTTTTTTCTAGTAGCAGGTGATGCAAAAGTTTCTATACGGATGAAACCCTAAAAGTTACCATCAGAATTTTGTATTCTACCTGAATCTGGGCTCAGAAAATTTCTGTCTATTTGTGCTTGAGAGGCTGTTTGAAAGACGTGAAAAATTAGTTTGAACCGAAACTTTTTTCATATATTTTCGTATTTTCACTTTTGAAATTCGAAACTCAATGTTGAGACTTTTATTCATATATCAGTTGACGGAGTAAAATCTATCCTACCAAATGTACTATTTCACTTTCTTTTTATCTGTCGATAAAACACCTAAACTATTATTTTCCTATCATCCTCATTTGGAAAAAAAACGATTTTCTGTTTTTTGATGAAAAGCCATTCTACGAAGAATATAATACTTTCGAACAAAAACAGAAAGAAAATTTCTGAGTCAATATTCTGAAAGATTTCAAAGCTCTGGTTCTAATCCTTAGTGTTGCATCCATCTAGAGTATTCTCAAAAATAAACCAGTATTTTGTTCCGAAAGTTTTGCACTACTGTTTATTAGACCATCTTTGTCTATGGTTATCATTGTCAATTTATTCCTTTCTCATATAATGCTAAGATTAATAAAGTATATTAACTACTTTCGCGAAATATAAAAAAAAAACCTTCTATGTTCTGTTAAAAATAAAAGTTTATTATCTAAAATTACCTTTACGTTTACCAGTTTGACCAGTTAATTTAGGTGCTTCATTCAATAAAATCATTCCAGCACAAACACCGAAATGTAGAAAAAAAAAATAGTTAAGGAAAATAAAATCCTAAATTCAAATTTTTCTTTTTCCTAAAAAAATTAAAAAAAGCATAAACAGCAAGAAAAAGGATATAGAGAAAGAAGACCTAAACAAAGAAAAAACAAGAACATTATTAATTCTTAGAATCAACGTAAACTTACGACGTAAGTTTCAGCGATGAATTGATATCCTGAACTTCCACTAAATAAACCCTTAAGAAAAAGATATCAAGAAAAATGATTGCCAATATTTTTAAGAAAAAACTACTCACAATTTGACCTGTTTGAGGATTACGATGAAGAAATGGTGAACCTCGTATACTATTCCAAATTTGTCCAGAAATACAAATTAAAATTGCAAGCTAAAATTACGAAAAAGAAAATGTTTTGTTTTTACTTTAAAAGTTAAATTTTCTTACAACAACAAACATTCCCCAAACAACTTGATTATAAAGAAATTCAAGACTATTTCGTTTTATATAAAGAAGACCGCCAATCATTGTTACAAGTAATACTATTAATAAAAATCCTGAATAATTTGGTGGACGAAATATATGAATCTAAAGAAAAACATTTTTTTTTGTTTAGATTATTTAACATGTCTATTTATTATCTTACTTGAACATCAGCACGATCATGAATCCATTTAGCAAGTTGTTCAGCAGAAAATCCCCAACTAATTATAATAATAAATTATTATTTGTTTATTAATATTTACTTACCGACTGATATCCATAAAATCACTTTTTTTTGGTTTCATTCTCGGTGGAAAATGAATAAACACTGGTGCAGAATTTAATTTTAACTAAATAAGAAAAATTAATCGTAAAACAAAAATATCATATGAATTTGTTATGTTAAAGTAAAACAAGGAATATCCAAATTTCGTAGTAGTCCTGAATTTGTGTTCAAAATCATTCTAACTTTGATGAATAATTCTGAATTACAGCTAAATAATAGACAGGATGACAGAACGGCGAAGCTGGTTCAGTATTTAATCTAATCCTTTTTACAATTTTTACTTAATACATACGGTCATCAGTAATATGTGTTGAGAACGAAGGTATGTGTGATGATCTTCTCTCATTCTCACACCTACACCCTAATTGCTAAATAAATACGTACGTTGATGATTTGAAAATCAAAATAAGTGTTTGTGTTGTTCGGTGCTCAATTCTAATTTGAACTTTTAGAACTCTTTTGAAAAAGTGTCGACAAGAATCAGGACATTGAGGACTATAGAAATTTCTTTAATCATTTGAATTAATGACAATCATTCTTATGGTCGATTTCAGTTAGAAAACTAGTTCATATAATCATATGAAGAGACTTAATCGAACAATGGTCATCGTATCCAAAACAAACGTCATAATAGATTTTGCAATTCGAACGGTTCTATCCCTTTAAGTATAGAATTATGTTTCCAAAAAAAACCAACAATGAAAATTTTTCAAAGATGAAATCAATGTGCCTCAATATGTATTAAAACTCTAGGCAAAAGCCTATACTCACAAATGAATGTGATCGATCTTAAACGAGCAAATGTGATATACGTAAACACACTTAAACAGTTTATTTTATTGAATAATCATATCACAAGTTAATCCGTACTACCGTCGCTATTGAGAACATTTTACCGATAGTTTACTGATGAACTTCGTTGAACAACTCCAGGTTCGAAAATTTTGGACTCGACGAGCTCTATTTATCGATGGCTTTTGTTCGGTTCAAATCACATTAGTAATCAACATATAATATTTATAAAAACTATTCTGAGCGTAAAATCTTAGGACGCAAATTCGCATCATCAGTAATTTGAAAGTTAAATTTAATTTGACTCTCGAATTTGATAAGTAAATCAAAGTTTCCATATATTCATTGTTATTTTATCTTAAATTATTTCAATTCATTTCTCTTATAAACTCATTGATGAGTACAACTAATTTGATTTAATGAACATTATAGCAAAAAAAGATGTTCGACGATAATACATACATATTGAAATACATCTGAACCATCATCAAAATCGACCATACCAAAAAAGACTTTATTTGTAAATGCACTTGAATAACGATAACTTTGTGCCACTATTTGAAATTCATCATGAGCTTGTCTTTCAAGAAAAATTAAATAATAAAAATAAAGAAATAAATTTGATCTTACTTGCATATACTGCATTGTCGTTGTGGTGAAAGTGCAGTAAGCATAATAATCATTGAATAATTTCTTGGTGATGTTTTTACATAATGTTTAAAACGTTCATTATTTAAACGAATAATCGGTTTTTTAAGTGACCAATCTGTTAATTGTTGAATTTTTTCCGAAAGAATATCCTATATCAATAGAAGATATTTATACACATAGAAGAATTTATTAATATACGAACTTCTTTAGTAAGAACATTGGAAATTGTATAAATACAAATAAAAAGAAACCAAATGAATTGTTTCATTAGAATAGTATAAGATCAGAGAGAAAATTTTAATCTTAGTTTTTGACTTGACAAAAGTATTGTATGGTCCGTTGCAATTTTCTACTGGTTTTTACAAATGATCGAATAAAAAATGAATTACATATTCATTAAATATATTTGTACAAATCAATATGAAAAAAATATTTTAAAATTTATTTATAAATGAATAAATAATTAAATTTTAAACTCATAAAAGTCTATTCGATAGATGTCATAGTCGTCTTTGTCCGAAATTCATACATGAAAAGAAATACTTTCAAAATTTTTAGTATTTGTCTATGTACACACTTCTTAGATCACAGTGATACGATTGTTCTTCATTATTTGAATGTCTTTTATTGAACCAAGAAAGGATATCAGCAAAAAACTGTACACACCTATAGACGATCATTTTGGACTGTACTTTTTCTTTTCAACTGGAATCTATCCTATTTCGTGGGCACGAACATTCATGATTGTTTTGATTTTTACTTATACAAGATGTTTGACAATTCAAAATCAAGCTAAATATCGTTACTTTTTAAAATTAATGCCAAGGTAACAATTGGTGTCTACAGCTTTGTAAGTGTCCAAAATGTACCGCTTGTTACTTTGGTATTTAATTGTAAAATGTCTACAATAAGTAAAAGTAAAAGCAAACACGGTTGTTCATATGTACGAAAAAATGATACAATAGGTGCTCGAAAAGCAATCAGACAAAATATTCATTCATCTTTCAACCTTTTTACGGTGCCGGCAAAAATCTGAAAACATTAGATTAGAACCAGAATATGTGCTAGACATTTCTGAAGGACTACTGACATAAGAATGGTGAGCAGACCTGTTCAAGGCCTGAAATCTAGTATAGATGAACTATTGCGCGTCAAAGATTACCCAAAGTAGAAGCAAAAATTATTTCAAATACAGCCAATGAAGGAGCAAGTATTTCTCAATAAAATGGTATATTAATGAATAATTAGCTCTAAGTTATTTGTTAACAGTGAGCGTTTTGCTAAAGAATACTATGTCAATTTAGGCAATTTTCTCGGTTTTTATATCACTTTATAGAGAACAATTTTGTCTTTAATTCTATGAAAAAAAACTGGTAGTCTAGCGCATACAGTCTGCAAGTTTAAAGTAGTAAAAAAAGGTCAGCCCATAATACTTACATCAAAAGTTCTACAAAAATGTTGAACCCATATTCAGAAAGAACATAAAATTCTGATACTGACTCAATGTTCTTAAATTGCTACAAGTTCCTTAAAACGACCGAAAAAACAAAGATGAAAAATCGCTCATTTAGCAACCTAAAATTTTCTTTGGGTTTTCATTCTACAAGCCTAATTGATTTTGTTTAAAACACCATATGAAGATGCAGGGCATGACAGAACTCTTTTGTTTTTAATTCTTACTTTTTAAGGAGAGATAAGTTCAATCTATCAAAAATGGCGCTCTAATTATAAAGCTACTCTTTGATATAATAGTGTGCCGATATTAATGGCACGCTCCGATGATTTTCCTTCCTCCTCTCTCTCGTATATATGTATGCGCTATATGTGAAGTGGTTACATTCTGGACATGTAAAGTAGCTGAATAAACATCATGGCCGAAAGTGGCGGCAGCTAACTCAATCTAGTTTGTCGTTACAAATAGTAGTAAATGTTAAGTTCAAAAGAAAAGAGCTCTGTCGTGCCCTGCATCTTAATACACTCTTTCAAACAAACAAAAACAGGTCATGGACTACAATGAAACTTCTTTGACAACTATGAGAAAACCAAATTTTTAAAGCAGTTGATAACGAAAATTTATAGGAAAATGAAGTGCTAAAGAAACACATTAAATTGTTTATGATAGATCAGACCTCGTGCTATTGCTCCATGAATTTATCTCAAGTTTTATGTTTTTAACGAAAATTAACTTTTTCTGAGTAGAGTTTTAAAAACATTTTTATAAACAAATATGAATTGATATCTTCATAAAGAATTTTGATGCTATGAGCTTTAGATGAACGATAGTTTTGTAGAAGTATTTAACCCATGGTTTTATCAAAAGATGTAATTCATTATATCTTCGTGTTGTTCATTGTATATGTTTAACAAGAAGAAACAAAAAAAATTAAATTTAGAACAATTTATTAAAAACAAAAAACATGAATTTAATGTTATTCAATTGTTTTTTGGAGTTTTAACTAAAGTAGATGATGGTAAAACAGTACTTAATATAGTTCTACTAGAAGAATTTTTCTGCATTGCTAAATGATGATGTTGGGAAGAAAGAGATAATTTTTTAGTATTTTTTGGTGATGAAGACAATCCATTAGTAGTTATAGTTGACATTTGAAATGCACGTAATGGTCGAGTAAATGAAGATATATTTGTTACAGAATGAACATTATTATTGGTAGTTTTAGTTTTCGTAGAAGATATTCGACGATTTGTTATTGACATTTGTGATTGGATTGTTGAATTTGTAGATACTTTAGTAGTTTCTTCGATATCTTTTTCAGTTGAAATTCTTCGAGATACAGCACAACGTTGAATATTTCGATTAGAAATATTATTTGTTAATATTGATCCTTGATTTTCAATAGATGGTATACATTTTCTTGATTTGTTCATTTTCTGTTGATCAACTATATTATCTGTAGATTTGTTTGGATTTATTAATTGTTCATTAGATGAAGATATTTGTTTATTATTATAAATAATATTATCACAATTTAGTTGACAAGTCGAATTTGGCTCTATGAGACAAGATTGCAGACTTAATTCATCAATTTCGCTAATATTTGAATATCTTTTAGAACTTCTATTGTGCTTTTTCGAATGAGATGATGATATTCGCATTGCAGGTGTAGTACGAATTTCACCATGGGAATTATTAACAGACGATAATGGTTGATTAGTATCATCAATGACATTTGGTAATGAAGATAACTGCAATTAATCAAATTTTTTTATAAAAAAAAAAAAACATTAAAACAATAACAGTTTGATGTATAGTCGAAAGTTTATTTTGCTTCTAATTATACTTTACAATGAAAGATACTTGTGGGAGAGATAGACCTAGCCACAGATAGAATAGTACGACAATTCGTCAGTCCAGTGTCGGTATGGATTGAAGATCGACCGGGTCCATTTTTGTCCAGTGGCGTTACAAGACGAAGCTCAATCCTCTTCTCCTTACAAAGGATTGAATTCTGCTTAAAAAGGTAGTTGCTTCTCCCTCTAAGAGCTATACCACAGAATATCCGTCTCGCTCTACAGACATGATCAGGGAGGGGAATTCTTCCTACAACTTTGTTTCTGATTACATCACTAACAAGAGAGTCTCACCAAGTGCCGAACGTCGTTCAACCTGATATAGCTATGAACAGATTCTTATGAGACTAAGATCAAACTAAAAAATATCAAAATGATGAAATTTACTCTGAAATGTTGCCTATAAATAGAACTAATAATCATTAAAAACTTCTAAATATTTCAAGGAAACAAATGTGTCGTTCTTGAGATTTTCAGTTTTCAAAAAACGAACAAATTACTATAGAAGGAAGCAATAGTCAAATGTACTTGAAAGTTGAATATTTCGAAAACGATATATTCGTTTTCCTTCAAACTTTTCGAAGTTTTCAATGATTATCAGCTCTATCTACAAGTAACATTTTAGGATAAAATTCTTTATTTTAATGTTTTTGGACATGTCCTACTTTGACAAAAGAATCCAGTAAAACAGCAATACATCCTCATCAGTAGATTACGAATCCAAAACCTTTTAAGTTTTTGTTAGTCTCACCGAGATCTACTCATAGGCATAATATCAGGTGGAAGAATGTCCGATAGCTGAAGATGATCCCTCATAAGAAAAATTAGATAAGAACATTTGTTTCCTAATAGAATGTTTTCATTAATTTCGAAAACTATAATACTGTTCTAAAAAAAAGGGTCCTAGTATCTGATAAACTTCTGTCAAAAGTAACTAAAAAAAACTCAAACTTTGTAGTTTTCTTATGTACCTAAACATTAAAAAGCAAATTAATTATATGCTTCTATCATTCCAAGCATTATAACTACAATAAAAGTGCTGATTAATATTTTGAAGAGTTTTATGTATAGTTTTTTTTTTTTATATTATTTTTTCTGCGGAATATCAATCGTAGATACAAGCAATACAATGTTATCAACTATATAAACAAAAACCGAAATAAATATAAAAATCAACGAACAAAAAAGAAAAATCAATGAAACTAAACGAAAAGAATTTTTTGAAAAAAAAAGTAAATAACGGCATACGTCACTATTTTATCGAAGAAGATCTATTTAATTCATGTATAATATCGTACTGTCGAAACTCATAGGATATGATAAATTTTTATCTTCTTAAACTGAAAACAATATCAGACAGAAAAACTGAACAGTTATTTTAATGATTATGATTTTATTCAATTGTCAGTTTTTTGATGATAGATTGATTAATGATGAACGCCAAAGTTGATGAAATAAATTCGTATACCAATGTGACAACTACAAAAGCAGCAAAAGCAAAGGTGATGTTAGATATGCATTAGAATATTAAAATATTAGTAAACTAATATGGCATTATTCTTTTTTCTTTTCTTTACCTCTGTTGAATTTTGCTTTGATAATAATGAATTATTTTCTTTATTAATTTCATTTTCAATCAAATGTTCATATTGATGAATTTTTATTGGTAAATTATTTTCATATTTAATTGATAGAATAGAACTACTTGTTGGAATTGTTTGATCATTTGTAGAGTCGAATAAAGATCGATTTGATGTTGCTAAATAAGATGATATTTGATTTTCATCAGTAGATATTATATCTGTTGTTGGTACAATGGCAAATTCATTTGTTGAACAATCCATTTTCGTTTCTTCATGTTTATTATCTGATGTCGATGAAATAAAAACCTCGTCCTAAATATTAATATGTAATTAGCAAAGCTTCAAAAACAGTATAGATCAATTCTTCTATGAACATAAAAGTTTATTCAATTTTCGGTTGGTTTGTTTAAGATGCTTTTTTTTTCATTATAGTTAATTTAGTGTTAGTTATTACGTCAAAGATTATCATAGAATTTATCAGGAGTTTGCTTCCGTTTCTAAACGAGTTACAACTTTGTTAACAAGTCTACAAAACTTGTGAGTAAGACTAACACAACACACTTACAAGACTCGCCTTGTAGAGATATTAAATATTCAAAAGCTGATCATATCTAAAAAACACTCTGTTTTTTGCATTGGACTTTTTCGGGAAGAAAATCTTCAATTAAATAAGTAATCAATTAGAAAAAAAGTTGTTAGCAAAACTCCTGCGGAATTTAAATGTGAAATACAATATAGCTTCTGTTGTTAAACATCGGAAAATTGTTTTATTCTATCTAATTTAGAACTTTGAGAAATACAAATAGATCAGCTATTATAACGAGACGTTATTCATATGTGTACGATCTATAAATCTTCCATGGTTACATCTGTTACGGTCTGCGGAGATGGAATCGATCTAAATTTTTCTCGACCGGTACTGACCAGAGTAAGTTAGACCGGCCGGTCTGAAGTCCAAACTAACGAGTTGTCCTACTACTATTCCATCTATGGGTAGTAACATTCGACAGAGTCAACCTGATAATACGTAATCGTAATTTACACACTGTTATTGTTGGTTCGATCCTCTTTTTTTTCTCATTTAGGGAAGGAGTGACAACAAAAACATTTGTAAATTGAATTGAGAAAACAAATGAAATTTACTATGTCTTCTTGTTGTTTATTTGTTGTAGATAATCCAAGAAGATTAAATGGTCGTTTGGTAAGAACAGTTTTAGCTGTTGGAGAATGACCACGTTTTCTTGGTACAGAATTTGGTAATAAATTTTGAGTTATTTGTTCATATTGTTCCTCATAAGAAATATCACGTGAAGATAAATAACGATCTCGTGATGTTCGATTAACTTTAAAACGTTGTCGTGTAGTTATTGGTGTTAATGGAACATTTAAATGATCACGAAAAATATTTGTATCTGAACAAAATGAAATATGTGTATTTCGTAATGAACGTGTTGGTGTTTGAATAGTTCGTTGTTGTTGTTTCATTAATAATTGATTACGACGATGTTGTTCAATATTTTGCATATGAGCAAGACGAAGTTTATCAATAAATTGTCCAAGAGTTGATAAACATAATTCAAGTGATAAATCACAAACACAAAAATAATTTGATAAATTTTTTTCACCTTGTTTTATTTGATTTTCATAATTAAATAATTTTGTAAATAAAATTTCTAAATCATTAAGTGTTATTTTTATATGTTCAGGCAAATAAATAAGTTCTTTTTCATAATTATTTAATAAAATATTTAATTGTTTATAACGTGTATATAATAAACGTATATCAATATAAATAGGAATATATTTAATTGATGATAAATCTTTTAATTTTAATAATATTTGATTATCAAATATATTTAATAATGTTGAATATTGTTCTTCTAATAAATGACATAATAAATGTGTTATTGTTGTATTTTGTTTTAATGTACGTGTTGAAAGTACAGATAAAAGTGAATCAAAATGAATACCTGGTATTGTTTTATCTGTTATACTATTATAAAGTAAACAAAGTAAATGAAGTATACCAGGTAATTGTTCATTATTTAATATTATTTCAATAGATTCAAGAAGATCATTTATATGTTTATTCATACGTTCAAGTTGTGTTGGTGCTTCTTCACGAAATTTTAAATAAATTAATTTAAATTCATAAGCTGGTACACGTACAAGTTTAACAAAAAATTGTTCTATAAGTACTAGACCATGTGTTGAACCATTATGTGCTAATACACGAGCTTTATCTTCTGGTCGTTTATCAAATTGTTTATTTAAAGAAGTTACTGCATCAAGCCTAAATATAAAAAAAGAACAAAAGAAAAATTTATTTTCTACACAATCTGTAAGTCTAATATTTCATTTTAATTTTGTTTTTGTTATATTTTGAATAGATAGGTTAAATGGACAATAGTCATTCGATTAGATTAGAATGTTTAAATCTGCTTATACGATTGAAATTTATTTAATTATTGAAAGATGACAACATGTAGAAAAGTTGTTAGAATAATCGATATGGAATTAAAATCTGAAAGGAAGAGATCGTTTTATTCGTTCTATGTTGAGATACATTTCTTTATCATCCTTTTTATTTAATCCTTGAAAAATGCAATAAGAAAGTTGTTTATATATTAGAATGAGATGTTATTAGATTACAGTCTGTGATCGTATATAAACAACATCTGTCACGATCTGTGGAGAAGTCAAAATTCTGACTCTAATACTTCAATAATCCTTTTAGGTCATGTTTAACAAAAGATTTATTATGTTTTCAATAAGAATCTTAAATTTAATTTTTATATTCATGAAAATAATCAACTAAATAATGAAATAAAAATCTCACTATAATACTGTATTTTAAACATTAAATATACAAAAAAGAAAAATTCATTACCATTCTGATTTCATATGTGTTTCATCAATAGCTCGAATAACATGATCAATACTAGCATCATCATCATAATCTTTTTTGACTAATTGAAGTAAATGTCGCATTGGTACATCATAAAGCATTTTTGATGTAGTATCAAGTAAAATAAATGATAATGGTCCATCATCATTAAAATTAGTTCCTCCTCCTCCTACACAACTTGTTGATGCACTTGAACGCCTATAACGATCTGTCATTAAAGATTTTGAATCACCAAAATGTTGATCGAATACACTTTGTTTTATGCGAAGATTTGGTAAAACACATCGTGTCCAAATATTATTACTTGATATAAGCATTGATGGAATAGAACGTGCTTGAATTTCAGTTATATTCGCACGATTAACAACAAGATTAACTTCTTGATGTGGTAGTAATATTTTACAATTGTTATTTATCTTATTATTAAACATAGATGGTATTGGTGGTGGTGGTGGCGGAGGAGGAGGAGGAGGAGGAGGAGGAGGCGGTAATCCAAGGAAACCACCAGAGGGCGACTGCTTGAATGTTTCTTAATAGAAAAAAAAAAGAATCATTTTAGATTTATAATAATAATATAGAGACTAACCATGTATGAAAACATCATCGGTTTCTGTACCGTATTGATTGGTCGTCGTCATCGGAGTGGTCAGCATTAGATTTCGCCGTCACTCTTTTACTCGACACAAAAATATCTTGTTGTACAATCTGAAATAAACTAAGAAATTTTCTGTGTAATTTTATAATAAATTAAAAACAAATGATAAATTGTTAGTTTTCGTCGTATATGATTTAAATGGATACTAGAGATGTAAAAAGTGAGGAAAATCGATGATTCACCGAGTATTTATATGTGTTTCGAAAGAATGCAGACAGAGAGAGAGAGAGAAAGAGAAAACAACGAGCAATATACATCGATAAATGAATAGACTAAACATAGTAGTCAATACCACTAAATCAAAATCGTCCAGGCGATGAATATGATAATAAATAAAGACGCGATAAATGAACAATAGCAAGAACAAACAACTTTTGTTCAAGTATTATTCTTTGAAATTTTACTAAAACAAAGATTATTTATCATTCAGACTCAAATATAATCCGAAGTATTTACTTTCAGAGCAAAAGAATTTTTTTTCTATGCCTTTCTATTCGTTTATAATTCTTCAGATATGCAAGACATTGTTCTAAATCTAATCTCATCTATTTAATCACCTTTTTTTCTTTTAAATTCAGCTTATTCAATTTCTCTTTCTTTCTTATTAATCTGATATTTCAATCGAAAGTGTTACATATAGAAAGTTCAATTATCTAATAATCGTCGTTGGTAACACAAACAATTACTCATAGCGCTAACTGTTTATAGAGTGAAGAGAACATTGTATGGCACATGGATCATTTTTCGTACCAATGTACCTATAATAGTAAAAGATTTTCGATACATATATACTTGTCGGTCATATTCTCGTTCTCTCCCTCTCTTATATATGTCTGTTGTTCAATAGTAAGAATAACGCCTAAAGCGATAACATACTTACGAAAAAATGTTCACTATGAATTTTCAATGTACACAACGAAATAATCTTTCTATTCATAATATTGTGTAATATGTATATTCATGAAAGTAATCATTGAGCAGGTATGATTCGTAAGCAAAAAAATCATATAAAGAGATGAATATTCATTTAGAAAAAAATTCATCGATCACGATTGTAACGTCAATAAGTGATAAAGATGATTATAGTTATCAAGTAGAATTGATTTTTAAAAAAATGAAGCAACACAATCCTACGTATGTGTCTATGTCAACCTACATATTATAAATTCATTAGAATATTCGAAATAGTATTCTATGGGTTCTGAAAAGTAAAGAAAGATAACATACAAAATGAAAAAAAAAAAGAAATATGTCAAGAGACAACTTACTCTCACTATTGTATGAAGGAATACAAATAATTAATAAGTAAAATTTATTCATTTGCTATAAGAAAAATTTGATTGTTATGTTATATTGAAGTTAGAAATTCTTTCAATTTATTAATATTTTATTTGTTAAATATTATTAAAATAAGAACATATTTAAGAAAAAAATGAACAACCTCAATAACGATCTAGTAAAGTCATAAGACATGATTAAATACGAAGTATGATCAATATCTAGATACAAATAATTTTCTTTCTTTCAACAGTAACACTTCTTCATATATGATTCTAAACGTATACTTATAATAATAATAGTAAAACATCCAGCATTGTTATTGATCTTCATATACAATGAAATGTACTCTATTTAATTGCATTACAATAATGATCATCGGTCTCGTAGTTTTCACATCCTTTATTCTTATTGAATAAAATATGCAAAAGTCACTAATCGCTTCTCATTTTGAGAAAAAATCTAATTCTACTAGTAACATTTAATCGATTAAATATTCATTTTAACACATACTTTTAATGTCTAGTTTGAAATAAGAGAACAAATGAATATCATCTGTACATATTATATTCGCCTTCAAATTTATATATTTACGTACCCGCCATAAGATGTGTACTTACAATCAACACGAGACAAAAACGAAGCGAAATACAGTTAAATCATTTTCTCTTTTACACAGTACCGAAACAAAGGAAGACTGTCGAATGTATTGAGCAACTGTTATGTACGTTTACATAGTGTAGTGATGATCATCATAAAAAGAAAAAGACCAACACATTTGACTAGTTCCCATTAGCATATTTACTTAAATCTAAATGTGAAATAGCTTACCATTTTACTAAGAACATTAAGAAATAATGATATGATGTAATCAAAATCTAAGCAGAACATGATGACAGTTATTTAAGAAAAAAGACAGAACTTCGTTTCTTTTTTTTCCCCCTCATTGTCATTTATGTTGATATTAAATATTTATGATTGATCAACAATTATGGATATTAAAATGAGAGAACAAGGACATATTATTCTCATATTACAAAATTGAAAAAAAAATGACCATGAAATAAACACTTTAAATCATTTTCTTATTCATAAAAAGAAACAATTTTTCATATCATATTTTAATCTATTATTATCAAGTACGTTTTCATTTATTTTAATTTTATTGGAAGAAAAATTTCTTCAATATTAAGTTAAACACAGTGTATATTAACCGTTTTAAATCTGTAGAATAAGTGCAAATAGTATTGAAATAGATGAAATTTGTATTGGTCTTTGAATCGCAGATAATATTGATTATTGACAAAGCTAAAGTTTGAAAAACAAAAGATATTGAACAGTATATTTAATAATCAAATATAACATGTCTCTTTAACATTCCAAACATTAAATTTTGATACTTTAACTATCAACAATGAATTGTAAATAAAATTATTCAAACTAAGTTCGAAATGATGTGGAAAATAATTTTTAAGATATTAAAATATCATAAAATAAAATGTGTCGTGCTATCATCATATGAAGATCCAGTTTGATTGTTCGATTGAAATTTTTTTCATTCAAACAAACAGAAATAATAACTTCAAAAACAATTGTAGCTAAACATTACATTTATATGTAGACAATCAATTGATCAAATATTTACAAATATAAACTAACTCTCGAGAAAATAATTCCTTTCATTTTGAGAATTGTCTCAACAAAAATATGCTAGTAATCATGTGAACAGAGAACAACAATAATATCTAAGAAAAAAAATAATAATCTTTTAAAATAAATCGGGATTTTTTTCAACTGCCTCATATTAGCATTTAAACAATAAGATGAAATCAATCTCAGAGAATTTCATAGTAAAAATTCATCAAAAAAGCACATCCAAGAACTAAGTTTGTTTATTAGATAATTAACGAGCAGGCACTTACCGAAGGGGTGGCATGGGAATCGCCCCCCCCTCCCCCCCCCCCACACAGCACTTGCCGCGCGACGGGCGGAACGTCGCCTCGCCGGGCGGCGCGGGGGGGTGTTGTGTGGTGTCACCGTGTGGT